GACCTGGCAGCAGTTGCATACAGTGCTGCCAGAGCAGCTTTTGCAAGGTCGTACTTATCTCAACACTTGAATTCAAAATCCTAAGCTGTCTAGACAGGCTAATTTTGTGAGTCACACTGCTGCCTGCTTTTAGTGCTATGTTCACAGCAAAAAGCTCTTTTGCTGGAGGACTTGAGAGTATATATTTGTTTAAGGCAAATTGATTGCCAACCCCAACCTTCTACCTTTTTGTTATTCTGCCATGTAAAAATGCAGTTCCCTTGAAAAAGCCTGAACTTACACTTCCTGGACCACCTACCTGATTTCTATCCAACTAATTATGTATGCAGAGGTCTAGAGGCAGCGGCTTCTTCAACTTTCTCACTGACAATCACTGCAATATGTATTGTTCTTATTATTGTGCAGATATCCTTGTTGAAGCAAAGTCTGGAGATGCAGCTGTCCCAGTCGCAGTCGTCGCTGCAGCAGCTACAGCACCAGTTCAGCCAGGAGAGGGAGCACCTGAGGATGCAGCTGGAGGAGCTGCAGACGGAGCATCAGAGGCGACAGCAGCGTCTGCAGGAGGCCCACCGCTGCGCCATGCAGGACATGGAGCACGCCAGGCAACGTGATTTGAAGGTAACATTAAAGTGACCCAAAAAGGCTGCTATAGAGCTTTTTTGTCAACGGTTCATTTGGTTGTTTGCAGCTTTCCTAGTGGCGTCTTTGTGGTTCCCATTTGCTGTGGGATTCCCAAGTACTTGTAGCTGTCCTCAATTTCTGCAATATCGCCTTCTGGTAGTGCAATCCCCTTAGTTCTGACTACCTTGCCTCTCTTTGTTACCATCCGACTACACTTCCCCAGATTGACTGACATTCCAGTGTTGTTGCTGTAGATCCTCGTGGTGTGGATCAGTGAATCAGTGTCTCATTCACTCCTACATCTCATCCATGTAGAGGAGGTGGATGATGATGGCTCCATTCTGTAGCTGGTATCCGTAGCCAGTCTTGTCAGTGAGGTTCAGGCCTGTGCAGAACAGCAGTGAGGACAAAGCATCTCCTTGGTAGATCCTGCAATTGATGGTGTCTTGTGCTATAGGCTTAAACTTGGCATGACGCGGTGTTATTTGCCATATCCCCATTCAGTTCCTATCTATATCTATATCATCAGGTCAAAAACACCACACTGTACATTTATAAGGTGCAGTTTGCCAAGTCACAATCCTGTACTGAACAGAATAGAGAAGACATACATTTTGTGTGACTTTATCGGTCTCTCCCATTGTTGTGGAGGAACTTTGGTCCATTCTTCTTTCCAAGAAGTTTATAGGTATTGAGGTTTACACGCTTTCATTTATACACAGCTCTTTTAAAGTCCCACCACTGCATTTCAGTGAGGTTGAGCTTCCGCACTTTGACCTGGCCATTGAAACACCTTGATTCCTTTACTTTTATAGCCATTCTGTTATAGATTTTCTGCTGTGCTTGAATTGTCCTGTTGCATGAGTTTGGGCCAAGCTTGAGCTGTCATGCAGGTAGCGTATACAGAGTTGTCTCAGTCAATGCTAAGTGTCCAAGTCCTGTGGCTGCAAAACATATCATCACCCCACTTTGGTCTTGTCTATCCGAAGCACTGAAGTCTTACAGTTTGTTTAAATACAGCTTTCCAAGCTTAAGTTTTTTGCCGTTTCTCTGACATTGGGGTGAATTTAGCACTAATAGAACAATTGTGGCATTGTGTTTACATAGCACCTGAAGCTCCAGTACAGCAAGGAGCAACATTTTCTGCTTTTAGAGATTTTCACACTTGCTGATAATCAATTTATCAAGTGCCTCTGATTAGCAGCTACTGGCTACTACTTGCCATCTTTATTTTTTATAAAAGCAGTAAGGGTGTACTTAAGTTTTCAACAAGTACATAGAGTCCTCTGAAAACATTCTTTTTCTATGCCTGTAAGTTTTATCGATGGAAAGGAAATAAAACTAAAAATATGTCATGAAGCAGTCTGATTGGCAAGATTTATACTGCAACACAGACTCGGGCCAAATCAGTACAATGAGCAGTAGACTGATCAGCCCAATAGACACATTTTGTTCATTGCAAATTACATGAAAATAATAGTTTATGTTCTATTTCAATCCTTTTGGATGGACAAGCTGCTAGACCTGCCACATTACAATCCCTTTGCACAACCCTGTGAAGACAAAGAGACCAATGATAACACACTGCAGAGCAAATAACTTTTTAATCGTTGCTGTTGTGTTTGCTGTTTGAAAGCTGAATTTGAAATTGATTTTGCTCCTGACAGAGAGTCTTTCCAGCTCAAATAGATCAATAGGCCTGCAGACAAATACAGAACCTAATACAAAATGTTGTTGGGAAGCGTGTACTGCTCTCGCTAATTAAAACAAAGGATGTGGGTGACATATGGAGAAATAAAACAGTAATTATAATAATACATCTCAGCGACCCTCGGGACCCCTACGTCTCTCTGCTCTGCATGGAGCATCAATCAGCAGTCATCAGTGAACACTGTCCTCTGCACTCAATGTTCCCCAATCACCGAATACAGTGCATTATTATTTCTATTTAGTTCAAAAAGTGTGTTTTCTAAGACCACTGGTCCTTCTTCAGTTCTGAATTAGTTGGTTTATTATCTGGTTTATTATCTCTAAGTGCTAAACCTTTCCCTAAATATAAGCCTAAATTTAAACGTAATTCTAACTTTAACCCTAACTCAAACAGACTAACACAAGGGTACTAAAAAGTGAGAGCTGGTCAAGATGTTCTACGTTTTTAAGATCATTCTGATGGTTTAAACATGTTTTCATTTATCTGTCTTTGTTTTCCTGTGGCAGATGACTTTAGTGACTCAGTCATGTTCTTTGGATGAGTAATTCTCAACAAAACAGCAAATAACAATCTGCCCATTCTCCACAGCCACATTTTAATAGGACTGTTACACACACATGTTCAGTGAGTGCATCCCTTCAGCTCGCCACTTTATAAAAGAGTTGTTTTATGATTGCCTCTGTGTGACACCTCTCAATTATAGCTACAAAACTATCTAGGTTTATGTAGATTTCACTATGCCAGACAGGGTATTGCAAAAAGCAAAAAAGAATGGTGACATAGACAAGAGACCGAGGATGCAACACCATCAATCTCTGGGTGATCACTTTGCACACGTCACCTGGTAGGATAGCTCTAAACAGTTATGGTCAGACCCAGACTGATGGCAGTCACTGACACAGACTAGCGAAGGTTTGTAAATACCTTACAATAACACAGA